CGTCCTGGACGAGAACGCCCCCGTCCGCTGGCGCCGCCCCCACCTGCGCACCCCCGGCTACATATTCGGGCTGGTGGGCAGGGTGGAGCGGGAGTGCGTGGGGTCGTTCAAGGACCCGGAGAGGGGCGCCTTCCGGGAGGAGGGGCCGCGGGTGCCCCTGTACAGGTGATTGGGGTTTAGGGTTTGAGATTTAGGGCTGGGGGTTGAGGGTTAAGGCTTAGGGGAGGGGTCTGGTGGCTGACTTGAGGGAATGGTGGGGGATGGGGAGGAGGGGCAAGGCGACCCATTGACTGCAAAGGGAGGCGGCGAGCCCGTGTCACCGGACTTTCTTGGGGGCCGGGGTCGCGGTTTGAACGGAAGACGCAGAGGCTGGGCTTCATGACAGGCGGGCGGGCCGCGGCGGAAGTGTGGCAGCTGTGCTGTTGTTTGTGGGCGAGAGGGCGATTTTCTGCCGCAGCCTGCTCAAAGCTCAGAGCGCACCCTTACCCTGGCCCTGATAACGGGAACAGGGTGCGCTTCCTGCAGAGCGACGTGTGGGAGGGCTACGGGGGTGACGCCGCCGGTGACGCCGCGGGTGACACCGTGGACATCGAGATCTACCAGCCGTGGCTGGAGGCGGCGACGGCGGGGGACCTTGAGGCGCAGCGCGCGCGTGCGGCGGCCGCGCGGGGGCTGCTGAGGGGCGGCGCGGGCGCGGACTGCACCCGCGGGCAGGAGGGGCAGGCGGCGGGGGCGGCGGCGGGGGGTCAGCAAAGTCATCATCACGGCCACACGCACCAGGATGACAAGCATCACCATGAGCATCATGGTGACGAGCATCACGGTCACCCCCACAGCCACGGTCATGATCACGGTCACAGCCACGGCCACGCTCATGGTCACGGCCACGGCCACAGCCACGGGGATGACGACGACCACGACCACGTGCACGAGGAGCGGGAGCAGGTGTGTGCGACCCTGTAAGCATGCGTGCATGCATAGGTGTGGGGCCCATTCGCTGCAAGGAGCATCGGTTGACGGGGGTTCCGCCCTTGAACAGACCTCAGGCCCAACCAGGCCAGGCGGCTCTGTCGCGCAAGGCGTGGCCGCCCCCCACCGCGGGGAACCATCGCCCTACCTGCACGGCGGGTGCTTGGGGCCCGGCATCCGCCCTTCACTGTCCCGCCGCCGCCCCCTCCCCCGCCTTGCTCACCCGCACCGCTGCGAGGTCCATCCGCATCCTTTCCCGCTGCTTTACGCTGAAATTTGAACAAAACAAGTGGATGCCCCAGCGGTGTGGCGCTCCCCACTCCCGCCTCACGTCATCTCCGCCCCTCACCCCTTGAAACTGCCAGGTGGAGCAGGCGGCCGTCGAGAAGGAGGGCGATGAGTCAGGGCGGTCGCGGCTGCCAGAGGTGCTGCTGCAGCTGCTGTTAGACAAGGTGGGTATTGGAGGCGTGGGAACAGGAATACAGGGATAGTTGTAAGTGGACACATAGATGCGGGCAATGCGGGACATACGTGTGTGTGCGTGCATGCGTGTGTTGCCGGGGTGTGTGTGGGGTTGAGGCAGGGTTTGCGTGCGCCCGCGTGTGCGTGTCATGCCACTCCGCTCGTGCCAGGTGCAGTGCAGGCGCGCTGGCACGTTACGCTGTTGGGTCCAGCGCGCCCGCCGCAGCCCCCGCGCCCCAACCCATGCACGCACCAACATGCTAGATGCTGGCCCTCGCCTGGCTGTTTCCACAGCATTGTTGCTGTCAGCCTCCCTTTCCCCAACAATGTCATCCTCCCACCACCTTACCCAGGACAGCTCTTTCTCTCTCTACACACACACACACTCTCCACGCACACACACGCACACACACATGCACATGCACACACAAATATACACACACGCGCACACACACACACACAC